GGCACGATGCCACACAGCACTAGTTAGATTCACACCTGGTTTAAGATGCCTTTGCACTATGGCGAACGATAATATACACTGTTGAATGTCGCTAAACAACGATATTGGCCTTCGAGGCAATAAGTCTACATAAACACACACGCATATATATATATATATATATATATATATATATATAACTATTGAATTTGTACAACATCCTTTATCCTGGTGCTCATCAAAGTATTTTATAAAAATAATGAGCTAGTTCAGTATGAATGAAGACTATAGAGTATATGAAAACATCAAAGCGAGTGCAGGATGCTGTCATATGATAATGTAAATTGAGTTAAGTAAAAATGCAAAAAGTGAAATATAAATCTGCTCCTTCTACAGTTTTCGGTCTATCCGAATTGTGGAGCAGAGGCACGTATTACATTACCTGTGTATCTGATTTGGACGTCCGAAATGCAATTCCGTGATATGTGAGATACCACTACCTCGAATCAAAAACGTTTTAGGTGATTTATAAAATGTATCGTTTCCGCAATGCCACCGCATAGCACTATATTAATGGAAAAATAAATTTATAAAACGTATACACGGCAGTCGGCATTTCATTCCATATTCTTTTAAATTTCAGAAAGATAAATTACAGTTCTCCTCTTAAAAAACTACTGGGTAAGTTATAATCACTTGTGGTAATCATTTTCAATAGCATTTTGTAAAATGTGATTAGTCTTTCCTATATAATCATTGTAAAAATCTTCTCTTCTATATCTCAGAAAATAATTAGAATTTAAAAATTCGGTCAAGAGGTATCAGTTGAGTCCTACGAATAATTTGGTTGGAAGATAAATTGAATCATTTATTATTGTAAGGAACAAGAAACTAAATTCAATTTGTGTATTTTAACAAATCTCAACAAATACATCATTATTTTCAAATGTTTGAATTCTTTCCATGAAAATCTTAAATGTTTTAATTAAAAAATTCAAGTATTTTTTAAAAAATAGGCCATAATCAATCACTCGCATAAAGTATACAAGTTGCTAGAATTGAATTAATAAGTAAAATAAAAGTTACTTCAATCTTAGTTTAGATAACGTTACATATTAATTTCTTTAAAATAATATATTACAAATCAATATATGAAAAATATGAATATTTAATTAACATGTTTAAAAAGATTTTTTTTCTATAAGAATTGATTTATTGCAACTATCTAATTGGCGATAGTCGAATGACAATAAAATCTAATCCATGTTTAAATATCTATATATTATCAAATAAAATTCCATTTCAAATTCTAAGAAAATAATTCAATAATTGATAAATCCTCTGAAGTCGAAATGGTATACTCTATGAACAGTTATAAATCTCAAAGAGAAATTTTTCTCTATGAAATATAATTGTTAAATCTCACTGAAATATAAAGCGCGTCCTATTTATAGGAGATA